CAAACCCACGACCTTCAGATTGCGAGTCAAGCACCCTAACCACCTGGCTAAATTACATTTTGAAAGAGATAACGTACAGTGTTGTGAATTTATACTTTCAACTAAAAGATATTCATTTTCTTCATAGTAGGAATCCAGAACTTTCAGCAAAGAGTTGTTCACATTCGATAAAGTATTAGTCATTCTCTAATAGTTTCGAGTGGTTTAGTTAATCTAGTAGTGCCAGTTTAAATGCAGCATATATTATGGTAGAGGTATAAATGGGCTCCGCTTCATTTGTTTTGAGAAATAGGATTGATTACTTAAGAAGTATTATTATAGGTTTATGATTTAATTAACTTGATCTGTTGAACCACAAATCTTTGTTTTACCCATCCTAATCTCATCTTGTTGTAATGGATTTAGGGGCTTTTAAAAAGAACTTAATTATTATACATACAACGTGATTTTAGAGATGTTCGCTATATGTATCATACTTAATATTTTCTTTAAATTTTGTTTGAATAGTATTATTGATGATAACGTTTAAAATAATTCTAATTATTCTTATTATTATGCTTTTTATTAATGAAAATTATTTTGCATTGTTACCTTAGAACATTGTTTCAGGAATAACCTAAATCTCAGCTAGCCGAACCTCAAGAGATATTAATAGGATTATGGCCGTAAATGTCGGTAATAGTGATGATGTCCAACTGATAAATCAGTGCATTTTAACCTTTACAAGTTTTTTATTTGTATCATTTGATGACATTATACACTCTTTTCAATGTGTTATATAGAATTAGTTTCGTTAATTTATGTTACTTTTTACTTCTGATTTATTGTTAAGTTACTTTTTCTGATATTATTCATAGCATATAGAATTATATGCGAGATCAGGTTTAGAAATGTATACTTCATAGCGTTGCAGGATAGTTGTGGCTTAGTGGTTAGCGTGCCGGGCTGCATACCTGAAGCTCCAAGGTTCATGTCGTAATTCCTCTGAATATGCTTCGTACTTTCAGCTGTGAATGGGTATAAGACTAACAGTCATCCCGTTATTCGGTTCAAGTTCCCTGTGGCGAAATTTATTATTGACCAGCTAACGTCCCTCTGGTGCAGTAGTTCAAATTAGGGACGGTTGTAGGGAAAGTGATGTAAGACGGTCCCCTTCGGTAAAACGGCTACCCCTGTATATCATAAACACACTGACCGAACGACGTCAATGCGAATGATCAAAGCGCGACTTCAATCTTTTGTTGTTGAACAGCTTTGAATTAAGGTTAGTACCTTAATTTTTTAGGATTATAAAGTAAACATTTCACAGAATTTCACTTTGTGGATTTCAAACAGTGAGGGATTACAGACATCCGAATATGTCGTAAAAGAAACACAGTTTAAGTTCACAGTCTTTTTTTCACTTTTATATAACGTGTGATTGTTTTTATTGTTTTATTGTTTTTCATGTTATTTTCTTGTTTTTTCTTTTACCTCCATACTTCTTATCCCACACCAGTGACGTATATTTCATCCATAGACTTCCCGCAATGTACATCACTGTACCACACTAGTACTAACGCTATTTTGCGCTATTGTTCCGGATAATACGTAACTTGTACATGACGCACAACCCTACTAATCACTATCGGAAGCATTCAAATTACCAGTTGTTATGAGTTTGATGGGGGGACATTTTACTCCATCCAAGGAGTGCATATTTTCAATATATAAAAAAGGTTTATGGCCAGTTATTGTTTAAACTAGAAATGAAATTTATAGTAAAACATTTTTCACTTTCAAATATTTGCTTTTTTTATGACATTCATCTTAATTTGTGAAAATCGCATCCAAAGGTAAGGTAGCCATATTACTCCACCTGGATGAACTGAAACACAAATGCTCTATATGAATAGCAAAACAAATATGATAAAAGCATTATATAACAAACACATGTCCATTCAAAAACTAACAGATTTGAAATATTGAATTATGGCGTACTGAAGTACAAAAATAATATACAAATCAGAGCACGTTTTTTCTATAGTATGATAGTACAAAGTGTAAAAATTGCTGAAGATAATTTGCTAAGCCGGCAGTACGTTTGAGTAAACATTGCGCTGTGTACTGGCTAATAAACAAACGCTGGAAATTCTTCTCTTACATTGAATTTCTACAGGTTATTGGAAAAATAGTAACTGACATCATAGATGAAATGATATACATATGTTGCTAGAGGACTTCGATAAAATTTGACTTTATAGTCTATGAAATATGAAGGAAATGGTAGTTTTTATTTAGTGTTTTTCAGTTTCAGAAAAGCTTTTCGTTTTTGATACAGTTACTTTTAAAATGTTAATTCATAATGGATTACACTGTAAAAAACACTTGGAAAACAATCATGTTTAACTTCTCGCGTAGCAATCTAACTTATTTACTCACTTAAATAAGTGTAACATGGCCGGTGAACATATTTTGCTTCATTGAATTTGATAATAGTTGGTTACGTCACGATATACGAATAAAACGTTTGTCAGAAAATAAAACTCTTTACGTCACATGCTGCTAAGAGTCGATTCGCTATTTTACTGCGCGTGACTGAGATTAGGTTTGTAAAGTTGTAGTGAAAGTTGGCTACGAGCCGAAGCTTCTGCTGCGTGATGGAAGCGCCTCATCGCTGATGGCCAACTAGTGGCTCATTAAATTCCCGTTATCGCTAGCATGCCGATATCTACGAGAAGCAAGATCGTGCTTTTTTTCATGTAACTCAGTTAGGAATTAACACTTCGTGCATATTTGCGTGTCAGAGAACGCGAATCGCTGTCAACATCAACTACACTTCAGAATTTATAACTTAATACCAGGATGACATGTAAGCATGCAGTGAAGGTAAGATTATTTAGCATGTAAAAATAACTGTATCATAAGACACAGATATTTTGAAAGTAAAGCAATGAAGAGACCTAAGTAAAAGAGGATAACATCATTTAATTGTACGAAAACTTGTTGCAAGAGCTATCTTCGCTAGCCGTTCCTAATCTTGAAGTGATAGACTAAAAGGAAGGCAGCAAGGTAACACCATCCACCGCCAACTCGAGTGCCACTCTAATCAAATAATGATATTCGTCTCTTATATAAATATGGAGTGTGAATTTTGTATTTTGCACTAACGGGGCGCGAACCACGGATCAATAGTCCGTTGACCTGACCAGTGGGCCACTTAAGGTAGTTAGTAAGTGAACTAAGGCACGATTTGAGTGGATAGAAATATTTTCAGTTTCACGCGGCACATTAAGCAAGAAGATGACAAAAGTAAATTATTTTATGGCGAACATGTTATTGATAATTCGGCATGAAAGTAAAATTTGTACATTGCATATATTATTTACCCGAATCATTATGTCTCTAAGCAAGTCAGGTTAAAACAGGAAATCTTATCATAACGGTTTATGGGGGATGGGGGACTTGTTTTTCTTCATGAAACAAATAAAAAGGTTTCTCAAAACTATGCAGCGTATTACGAACTTAAACCGCGACAAGACAGTAACAATTACGAATTTACTGTTTGTGGTGAATGAGAGACACATGTATTCAAGCTTTTGTCACACACCATTAGCCTAGTACCCTCTACATGTGGCCCTCGAGATATGGAGTCAACATTTGATTTCCATCCATGTGTTGACCAGCATATTGGACATCACAATAGCTACTCCATCGATGATCCGATCACGCAGTTACTTTTGTCCTGCGGACGATGTTATTCACATAACCTAGAGTACCGTATTTACCGGTGTATAAGACGATACTTTTTTACTCTTAAAACGATGCCTGATTTTACCCTTCGTCTTATACCCAGGTTCAAATATAGAGTTCCAGTTAGAACTCTCTAGTTAATAACATATTAAACCAAAACTACATTGTACCTTTTACTTTTATTTGCGTTGACATCGTGCCAACTACTGCGTTACAATGTCATATTTGTAATTGTATCATCTGTCTCGGTTCTTCATAACTAGAAGTTATTTATCTCACATGTTAGTTACAATCAATCAAGACATTTTTGATTTGAAATGTATTGATCTCATCCTTTATACTAAAATATTGCTAATATTATATCAAAAAAGTTAGTTTCTGTAACATATTTTTATAGTAAATCTCTATATCTTAAGGTTTAGTATTTTTTGTAATAGAAAAGGAGTTCAACTGTGATGAAAACTTTGTAAAGTTGTTTATCACGTGTTTGTGATATAAGTTATGCAGCATTGAACTGTCTGTAGTGTTGGAAGAGCATAAAAAAACACATTTGTGATTGTATTGATTACCCCAGAGCGCAGGTTAACACAGTTTAAAAATAACTTCTAAGAACTTTTTTATAATAGTAGCATCCTAGACTTGCTTGACAATAGAAGTCATCCTATACACCGAACCTCAAAGAAATACACTTATTTGCCCTAAAAATCCAGAGTCGTCTAAAACACCGGTAAATACGGTAAAAATTCCGTTCTTGTGTAACACACTCCCATACTATTGAAACCGTCGGTTTCATTTCTTAATGGAATATTCATCTGGTAGATCCTTCCCATATTTTACGATATTGTCTTTGCTCTAGAGTAGGCGATTACATCTCTGCTAGCCATGAATCCTAGGATTCACACACACTCCGGGCATGCTAAACATTAGTGCTCCCTCCCCACCAAACAAAAACATTTTGATTTGTCTTCGAATTACAAATAAAACCAGTAATTAGCGGATAAACTAAATTGTACTAGAAGCACAACAATAGAAGCTTGAGAATCGAGTGTTGATAAAAGGTCGACTAATCTGCTTAACTAGAAAGTGTTAAGCAAGTGTTTAACTTTGTTGATTCGTTACTTACATTGTTGGTACATGTACAGAACGTTCAATCATATTCATCTATGTATGGATCGATCAAGGTCATTCTATGTATACATTTACCAGCTCTCAGCTTTTTCGATGTTGTGTTTGTATAGAGGATGTTGTAAGTCAATGGTCCAAATCTTTCAAAGTGGCATTTTTCAGTTAATAAACCTTGACACCCAAAAGGATTTTGACTTTCTGTGTTATGTGCGCATTATTAAGTGTATCATGTTTCTTACACTTTAGTATATAATTTGAAATAATTATTAGAGGAAGTCATACTCACAGGTAACATTTCGGCCATAATATTCTGACAGCTAATATTATCTATTGTTGTCTAAATCTGTTGTCAAATAAACGACATAGAATAATACTCACTCACACACACACACGCGTGAGTATATGTATCTATGCTATACACAATTACGTAATTATAATACTAATAAGGGTTGTCGTACTTTTGGGCTGTTGGTGTTGTGTATGACAGTTTGTAGACTATGTGTGAAGTAAGGCGATTAATAGAATGAGTATTGGACAAAATGCATATAAAAGTTTTTCACACACACACACACACACACACACACATATATATATATATATATTTAAATTATTTTAACGTTTATACTATGATGTTTCTGCTTGTGACTTTTTCATTATTGACTTCCATTTTTGTTTGTTTTTTATTTTTACAAAATGTGTTTAAGTACTCTGCTTTTTTTTTGCTATCCCCCAGTGGCACAGCGGTATGTCTGCGGACTTACAACGCTAGAATCCGGGTTTCGATGCCCGTGGTGGCCAGAGCCCATTGTATAGCTTTGTGCTTAATTACAAACAAACAATTTTTTTGTGCTAACTTCGGAGACGCTATAAATAAGTACTTTTAGATTATCCGTATTAACCAAATAACATTGAAGAATTACGTTAACGTTCAAGATCTACTAATCTGTAGATTTATTAACTCAACTGACTTCGAGAGTTTAAACTATATACATGAAAACCTTTGGGTGATGTGGCCTAGTGGTTAGTTGCTTGGTCGGTTATCAACACGGCCCGGCATGGCCAGGTGGTTAGAGCGCTCGACTCGTAATCTGAGGGTTCCGGGTTTGAATCCCTGTTCCGCCAAACATGCTCGCCCTTTCAGCCGTGGGGGCGTTATAATGTTACGGTCAATCCCACTATTCGTTGATAAAAGAGTAGCCCAAGAGTTGGCGGTGGGTGGTGATGACTAGTTGCCTTCCCTCTAGTCTGACACTGCTAAATTAGGAACGGCTAGCGCAGATAGCCCTCGTGTAGCTTTGCGCGAAATTCAAAAACAAACAAACGGTTATCAACAGGATGCGGGTTGAAAGGTCACCCGCACTTTGTCCTTGAGCAAGACACTTTATCCAAAATTTGATTCATTCTACGCAGCTGTAAAAGTGAGTACCAATAAATGGTTGGAGGTTAATCTGTGATGTCATTCCATCACAGGATGTGAAAACAGTCTCGGCCGTTTTTACTACAAGAAACTGGAGGTAAGCACCGACCGAGTGTACCTTTAATACACGGAAAGGATGGAACTGACACTAAAATATGGAAATACTTAAGAAAGACGAAATCCTAGGAACAAGAATATATACTAAAAGCTTAAAAAAGTTGATCAAACAGCAATATAAATATATATACTATACTAGATGTACTTCCGCATTGTCCCCGAAAGTGTTCTGTTTCAAGAGTAAATAAAATCAAAATTAAGAGTAACAAAATTATTTTTGCTTTTGAAGTTCATATGTCATGCTGTGTTGTAGTGTACAAAGTGCATAATCTTCTCGTGATTAATGGCATGCGCACGTTTTACTGACGTTACGATAGTACGAATTGCAACGTTAAACTACCCAATGTGGTGTCATTTTAATTTCCACTGACTGACAGACAGGCAACATGCTATTGTATAGTGGTGTGAGTGTTTAATACAGGTGAACCCTCCAGGCGGCCTTCGGCCCCCATTTCGGTGAAATAACAGATGATCTTTCAATGATGCAACTTCTTTCATGAAGCTGGTTTCTCGAACCTTCTGAAAACTTGTTGGTTTTAGTATTTAGCAAATAAAGTCAGTGAAGGTGATAAGGATTATATTGGCGTTGGGCATTGAAAATGTTCCACAAATGATTCCTTAAGATTCTTCAGCTATTACTAAGATAAAAGTCAAGACTATAAAGCAAACTAAAGCGTTCAACATAATTGACACATTATATAAAATATACATTCACGAGGTTCGGAATTAAGTTTCTTATATGATATACTTAGTCACTCCTATTATGAACTTTCATACAAACCAGTCCCGAAAATGCAATTCCAAATTACTCTGCTAGTACAAAGTAGGCCTAACGTGTGTTACGGATATTTGACTTTCAGCAAAATAGTTATGAATTTTGGAATCAGTGGCTTTAAAAGTAATGATATATTTAGCAAAATAATTAAGAATTATGGAATAGTGACTTTAAAAGTAATAACACACTTTAGCCTTAGCCAATGCTTAAAGACTTTCTTCTATTTACAAACTGTACAACAGTTTTGGCACGAATTTCAAGGTTTCACCATAAAGGTGGCACGTTCTGCCTTATTACACTTACAGCTTACACTTTCATGCTTCAAAAGTGTATTTGTAATGAAACAATGTTAAGAAAATATCCATTGAGTCTGTTTGCTTATTAAATATTTTAATCTGCATAACTGAAAATATTCATAACACAATCAAATAAAACCCTGGTTACACCAGTTGTATGTATTTGTTATGATATATTTGCCATTATCTGGGAATTTTATGTACTACTGACAATTTCACTAATTAATATTTTAAATTCATCAAGTTGAAAAATATCATGCGTTATGATTTCGAGAAACTTCAAGTAAAACTGTATTAGAACCACCAAGTAAAACTGTATTCATTATAATCCCAGACAAGACTCTATTTTATCTCTCTCTTGCAATGGTATGAATCTCTATGTTATATTTATACCATCTCTTATAAA